GACTTGGACTTCTCCTTCAGGGCTTTCCTTTCAATTCTGTCTGGGATTGAAATTATGATGAAGTAATTTTTCCACAGAAATTGCCTATGTCACTTGTGGTATCTCTTGGCAAATTTCTCAAGTGTATATTCAATCTCTCCATCTCTCTCTGTCCTCCACTATCACTCATCTTTCCCTCTCTGGTTTCGTCCTCTTGTTCTGAACATTCGCTTGCCATGTCAATGTGTCAATGTCACATTACACGGAGGCAACTGATGTGAGAGAGTTTGGTGGTTTGGCAAACAGGAAATAAACGAATAAGTGCTTCACTTCCCAACAGAAAAACAAACTATAAATTTGAGGTATACAGTTCTGTCACATGTGCATGTGTTTGTGTTTTTGTGTATGCTAACAAACTCATATACACACACTCCTTCACACAGAAAAATATAATCTTCCAGTCAAAAATCACCTGCTCGTTTCAGGGGAAAATAAGAGGCAGTGTAGCACATGTCATCAGATTGGAGAGGGAGATTCCTCAGAGACCTGTGGCCTAATTTCTTATTTTCAAGAGGAAACTTATCTAATTATATATAAGTTAACTTCCTAGTGGTCGATTCAAGGGCAGCACACATGAAAGAAAAGCCTTAACAGAAACAAGGTTATCACACCCTGCTCCCTTGAGTTCTCTTGTCTTTCAACAACAATAATATCTCTGAACTGGTGTCCTGTTCATACATAATGGCAGCTTGGTCATTGAGTCCTAATGCTCTTGAATGTGTGTGTGTGTGTGTGTGTGTGTTTCTCTGTGAGGGTGTGTTACACATATTTCCTGTCTGCTGCTCTTACAAAAGAAAACCTGACGACTTGATGGTGTGATTTTCTGATGCATTCTGTGTCGTATCACTGTAAAAGACACACTGATGTCACCTTATCATGAAATGAAGAGATTAAACATCCTGCATCTTTACTTCAGCTGAGTTACTTCTCACTGGAAAAACATGTGGATTTTGTATTCCTATCGTGATTGAAGAGCAGGTTCCTTATTTTCAATCAGAACCAACAAGGAAAAAGTTTGGGTCACTTGTTCTTCCACTGACTCATTAGCTTGGTCACCCACTTAGCTCTGGCACATCACAACTCTCAGTGCCACTCTGATTCGTTCAGCCTTGGGTCTAATTTTCAAGGGAATCATCTACATCTACTAACAGCATACCCATGTGCACATCTTTGCTTTCGCAGGTCGTAGTTTCTAGCAGCTATTCTGACATGATGTGTGAGAATCAAGCTGCAACATTTATCTTAAAAAACAGAAGTCCCTTAAACTTCTATCATTCAAAAAGCTGTTTGAGGCTGGCTCCGCCACCAAGGCAGTCCCCATAGACCTGAGACACCTTGCATGTTACAGTCAGGGGAAAAGTTACTTTGCTTTCTACAGCTAATTCATCTGGTCACTTGAAGTTGAAGTCTTATTAATTGTTTCTGATTAAACTGTTTAAATAAATCCAAACATCATGACCAGCTACAGCCCATGCTTTGACTGGGATGTGGTGGATGAGAACTGTCGGTTGAGCATTTTTCTGTGCTAACATCAGTGAAGAAAAAAAGGCAATTGAGACAGTTGAGGCTAAAAGAATTGCATCTATATATTCTTTAGTTTCAGTTATTTAATATTGCTTTTCTATGGATACATGCTCACATCTGTTCTATAGGATGGCACACAGTATATCACCATTAGGTGGCACATTATTGTTTCTTTCTAGAGGAGAAATAAACTAATTTAAATTGATATTTTCAAAACAATTTTAAGTGATAGAGCCGTGGATCAGCAAGTCTGCCTGATGTGCAGCTCTGTCTGTGGTGAATTTTGTCACCTCTGTTCACCGTCCCCTCTGAAAGACTCATGACCTGAGGCGACCCAACACTCAATTTTTTCAGTATATCTGTCAGACAAAAAATACTTTCCGCTTCAGCACAAGGGGGGCATTTCTGATGTTAATTCAGCTGCAATCCGTCCAAAAGCTGTGGGGATTAATCGCTAAAAACCACAGATGCAACCCTATGGTGCTATGAGAGGAAGGTTGAGATAAACTCAGGCAAAAACAGTAATTAAATGACAAAAAAATGGATACCAGAATTAAAAAAGATGAGAGAAATATGGATCAAAAACTGATTTCATCAGCATGACATTTGCACAGACCTGCAAAATCATCAAGGTCAGACAACTGTCAGTCCTGCAGGTGGACAGAGAGAAAGAGAGAGAGAGAGAGAGAGAGAGAGAGATGAGGCAGGCGGGCGAATCAGACAAGAAAACATAAAAACAGAAGGACCTGAGATCCCATGTCAGAGTAGGGTGCTGCTTTCTCCTTCTCCAAGTTCAGGCCTTAGGCATGGCCCGGTCTGCTCCCTTCTTCCCTCCCACCACCATATGGACAGAGCAGCCTTCATGCCAGGATATCTCATCAAACACAGCCCCTAAGTTCTTTCTCATTCACCAGACAATGTACATATTTGGTCATGTGAAAGTAATCAAGTAAAGTAATTTTTTCACCATCTCTGTGGCTTTGGAGGAGCAGTGAATAGTCTGCAATGAGGGGTAATCCGTCTTAATGGAGTCCCCAGCCCTCAGATGGATTGAAGTCTGCACAGGACTCAGATCACATAAAGAGACATGTTATTGCTTTGACAAAATGAGAGGAAACCTTTATCGTATTCTGCACAACTAACTACCCCCACTCGTTCATGGCGCTCACCCTTCCTTACTATCTATCTTTCACTTTCTCTTTACCTCATTCTTCTGTCTGCCTGTCCTCGAGAGTGTTTCACCCTGACCAGTCTGCGATTTGATCACGCTTGCTTTGGTCATTACATCACAATTATGGAGTTGTTGGTACAGGAGAAACAAGATGAAAAAAGGAAGGGAGGGGAAAAGCGACAGATGAAATGTAGGTCAGTGGAGATGTGCTCCGGGCAGTTTCTCTCTGTTTCTCTCTGTGAGTATCTCTCCCAGGGCCACGTGAAAGAGGCTAAAACAGAGCAAGGGTGAAAGTGCCTCTCACCCACACCTGCCTCTCTCCAAGCCCACCTCGCACGGGCTGGCAGAGGCTCCAACTGTGGAGTCTCTCAGAAACCCGCTCTAATGACAGACGCTGCCCACTGTGCCTGATGCTAACACCGAGTGACAGAGGTGGCTCTTTTCAGCACAAAAACTATCGACAGCCGCTTCCACACATTTGTGACGAGATAGCTGGTATTCTTCTTTCCTGTTTTGCCTTTATTTAATTGAAAACTGCACAAGAGGTCACAAGACACGAGATTATGTTTGCAACATCAAGTCTGCTGGTGCACGGTGGCAACAGAAACAACAAATCACAGAACGGTCGCCCTCGAACAGAAATGCAGCTCCTTTAATGTGTTTAAACCTCTGTATTAACTGCTGTCAGTGTAAAGATTTTTATGGAGTTAATACTGTCTAAGAGTGTGACGCCCTTCTCTTTTTTTTTGTGAAATATGGAGAAAAAGTGTGTAATTTTGTGAAAAAGAGATATGTAATGGATTTTGCTACATTAGTTTAAAAATTCACCATAAGTTATCTCTGATGAACTAAGTCTTGTTTTTGCATTGTAAGGGGATTTTATGCTGGTTTTAAGGTAATGGCATTGCAGATGTATGAAAGATGAAAAACAAGATGAAAGAACACTGCCAGGCAAAAAAAAAAGCTTGTATCAACTTAAACCCATGTGCAAGTCTTATAAGGCATTGTGAGTATAGAAGCTTTAACGTCTGGATCCCATAACTGCATTATAAGGCTGGGCAGCCCGCTGGGTCAGTCATTGTACAGTGTGTAGGTGGTCTGCTATGACATGAACACACACTTCCATGTTCTAGGTCAGTATTTCAGTGTTTCTCAGAGGAAGGACAGGACCCCACCCTGAAAACCAATCTGAGGACACCTGAGACAATTCGCGTCACATGAGCTGCTTCTCTTTTCGTTACGTGAGATCTATTAACCTTCACATACTGTACTGTGTGTACCATAGCTTTACAGGGCAAAGGCAAAGTTTTAATAATTAAAGCAATCAAACAGTCCATCAATTAAACCCACATACTTCATTTACTGTATTAACTGCAATTCTTCGTGTAAAAAACACTCTCTGTCATATGCACGGACATTTTTGGACATTCCATTATTTAGTTGAAAGTGTGATGGCCAACATGTAGTTTAATTATTGATTTTCTTTGTTAATTTTTTTTAATTTCCTTTCAGGGTTGAAACCAAAATCAATCCATTGCACACCAGAATTGGGTGAAAGTGCATAGCCTACATTTGTCAATAGTATGAACAGAACACTGCTATCTGTAAACTGTTCATATTTTATCACTTTTTAAAAGGCCGTTTATGAAGGTCAGAAATAAGATTATTCCGCCAACACTTCTGATGAAGCAGCATGTTGTATCTCTGAAGATATAGGAGCTGATATCAAATATTTGCTGGTTTTGACGTTACCCAAATTTCTCATAGATGGATAAATGAAGAGGGTGCCGTTTGAAACTTCACTATGTCTGTGTGAGTATGCTGCTCGGTGTGTGCGTGTGTGTATGCGTGTGTGTGCGCGCGTGTGTGTGGGTGCATTCAAGATCCAGGCTGCGGGCAGAGAGCAGGAGAGAGTGGGAGGAGCGGAAAGTGCTCCAGTCCAATCCGGGCCGCCGGGTAAAGCCTCTCCTACACGCTCTTCCCTCCTTCAGCCCGCAGAAAACAGTGAAATCCTCCCATAGAGGTGAGAGCGCAGATGTCACGAGAGAAGCGGCCACACGATCAGAGCGCACCGACCCACATCAACCTGCCACCCCGCGCCCCGGTTTGGGATGCTTTTTGCGCAGAGACGCTTCCACTCAGGGCAGCCGCTGGACGCTGACGCACGCCATCCACGCTCTTTTCGTTGTTGTTATTTTTAACCAAGGATCTTTCCCCCACTGCAGCCCCCCCTTTTTTTTAAGTGTTTATGTTTGTTTCTTCATGACTGCTGCTTTGGGAAGCGAGCCTCAGCACCAGCCCCAGCAACCCCGGCACCATGCGAGGTAAGAACAGTCCAGAGCTCCCAGCACTTTCCCCAAACATCATTCAGTAAAAATGGAGAGGCAGGCAAACATATCCTGCGACACACTTTTATCACAGATTTGGTGTCTAAAGTTTGTCTTAAGTGTTTTTTGGTTTAGTTTTTTTTTTATATTACATAAACAAGGATAACATTATCACCTCGCGCAGAGTTTCACGGCGAACATTACTGTATAAAAGTTTACTTGGATCCAATTCCATGTGCGTGTGTGTGTCGACTTTGGGTGTGAGTGGACAAGCTGCATGTATTGTAAATCGATTAATAAAGTCACTGGGCTGTCTAAGTGCAAATTTATAGTCACATAACTCTGTCATCGGGTTAGAACACATGATATGGTCAAATAAAAGCATTTTTCAGCGCTCCACTAACCCATTTCCTTTGCGCTTTGCACCGCTCCGTGGATGTTGAAATCCAATGTCAAAGTCGTCCCGTGCACACTCTTTACACTGTCGCGCGCGTCACAAACAGTGGCAGAAACACGCTGACACACAGGTTAACGCAGACGGAGGCTTATCTTGTCGTGAAATTTCCTTTGAATCTGAAACCCTTTTTTTTTATTTCTCCTGCAATAATATTATCAGTTTTAATCGGTACTTTTACAACCCCAAATTTATCCTGCTCATTACAGGCTTGGCGTTTTATTCGGAATGTTTTCTTCAGTTTGTGCAGTGAAAAACAGCATCAGCATTTAAAGGATGATTTGGACACTTAATTTAACTGGCTGACACTGCTTCTGGTGCCTTATAATATAAAGAAAATAAGAGAATGTGAATGTCTGAAGGATTTTTTTTATGTTCCAGACTTAAGTTTGAGAGGGCAATTACTTTCAGGATTTTTCTCCACCTGTAGAAAGTCCAAACTTCACAGCAAAGTGTGACAAAATCATCTGAAGGAAAGCATGTCTTGTAAAATGAAAATGAAGCTTAAAATTGAAACACACATATTCCCTTTTCCCCCTTTGGACCGTGGTTGTACTGTCATCAGATTTAGTATTAATAACCAAAATATATTCATAGCCAAATATTAGCCAGTGTTATTATTTTAAAGAATTGTCTTATGGTGGTTAGAAGCAAAAGTCCATGATGGTCAAACCAAAGCTGTACTTTCAATAAACTGATTTAAATCTTTCCAAAAAAATGCTTATCTATCCCCAACCATGGTATTTAGCTGTCTATCAATCAGTCTATCGCGTGTTTGAATATCTTCTTATGAAGCTATCTACTTCTGCAGCTTCAGGCCATCAATCCATGGGCAAGCAAAAACATGAGGAGGCCAACCTCCCCACATCTCTGCTTCTTTCTCTGTAATTCCATGGCAAACTCCTCCGTCATGCACCTTGTGTTTCATCCATGTTTTAATAGGCCTTGTGTCCACTCTCGTGAACGGGAAAGCTTTGGGGGGCATACCGAGAGCTCCTGCTTTCACTTTATAGCCGTGGTTGGCAGAAGAGGCCCCCGAAGCGTCACCCTCACCCTCTTTCAGCATGTCTCTCCCTTTTTCTCCCCCCTTTCCCTCTCTCCATCTTCCTCTCTCCCTCTGCACGCCCCAAAGGGTTTTGTCAGATAGAATTAAATCAGTGTGGGCCGTGCGGCCCCCACTCCCAACCTGCGTGTGTGTGTGTGTCTGTGTGTGTGTGTGGAGTCTGGGCTGCCCTTACTAAGAAATGTGCTCACAACCAAGGTTATAAAAAAATAGAGGCCTCTCATGAGCCGTGGTAATTATCACTTAACAAAAGCCACAACTCCTGAAGCCCTGACCGAAGATGATGTCACCACATCTCCCAGCAACAGCCAGAGAAATAACTGACAGAGTATTTTTTTCTGTATTTCAGAAAATGGATTAATGTATTTTCTCCATTAAGGCTGAGGTGTGCAATGTTGTAAATGTGATAATTATCTTTGGATAGTCATCACCAAAATGGTGATGTGGTGTGGATGGTGTCCTCTCCACAGACATGGTACCATGTATTTTGGAAAGGTAAAACATTTTGAAGGTGTAAGATTTTTTTTTTACAGCTTTATATAGCAAACAGCTTTAAATTAATTTAAAATAAATTATTGTGGTATATATCTATTTGATTTGAACTGAATATTTATTTAATCAGCGTAATTATGAATTAATCAAACCATATACAATTCACTTCAGCACCAATCAACAGCAGCAGCATCCTCAAATCACATGCGTCATTTTGCTGTAATCAATATAAACCGGAACAGCGATCAATGCGAAAGAGTAAATACACAGAGAAAATGAAAACATTAAACATGCATCTTGTATATCAGTGGTTCGCTTTTGCTAGTATTAGTCTTGCTAGTAAATGCCTGTAAGGAGCTTTTGGGTGCTTTGAGACTAGGCAGGTCAAAGAGTTCAGGGAAATTGGGAACAATATGAAAAAGGGGTTCTTGCAATTAGACATCTCAAGCTCAGTCGTCATGTGCAAGGGCAGGACGAAAGGAGCTTGAAGAGTGGAAGAAGGTAGTTATGTCATGAAGTGATGAGTTGTGTTGACAAAAAAGGAGGAAAAATCTACTTGGAACCTAAAACAAATCATTAGTGTTGATGGCAGTTCCCCTTTCATTTAGGTGAGCTCGCAGACTCTGAAAGCATTGAAAACACACACAGACACAAAAAGCTGAAATTCTACGCATGACGGCCTCATGCCAATAGAATTAGTCCCATCCTGCTTTAGTTTGGAGGTTTATGTGAGCATTGATTTGTCCAGCTCGAAAGAGACCCAGGATCAATTTTTAGTCAAAGTCAACGGAAACAGTCTGTGTGGTTAAATCTATGGCACACGACTTGGATGATTTGTATATGTGTACAATTGAGCAAAAAATCCAAATGACAAAAAATGTATTTATACGGTCATTTTCGGAATGTTTGTGAGTCTGTTAATGCTACTAAGAGCTGATATTGTGGTGAGTGGAAGCAGCTACAAGAAAAAATTGATAATCTCATTTAATTGTATATAATCTCTATTGTGACGACTACACCAAAATGATAACCGACACATTTCACAGGGATTGATGAGGCAGCCGATGTAGACACCAGTTGCTCCATCCGCCGGAAACAGCAGGTTAACAAGCTGTTACTTAAGGCAAATCAGAGTTTTCAGTTGCCGCCATGAAATCAGTTGTTGCACACAATAGTGGGCACCCAGCCTGAGCAACTGTGGTTGGCAGTGTTATTGGTGCATTTGTGGGCAGTTGTCGAGCTCAGTGTTGTTGTTTGTGTTGTTTATTGTGTTTTGTGCTGACTAATGGCCCAGTGTTACGTAAGAAGAGAGGAGAGATTACCCCAAGTCCATGCAGGCCACACTGTTAATCCCTCAACACAGCCCTACTGACTGACTGAGGTACCACTACAATGCTGTTACGACACACAATCTCACCTTCAGGACCCACCACACCCTGTCCCTACTCCTGTCTTTAGCTCTTCATGTTCTGCTCCTCTCCTACTGTGTCTGTCTGACCTTTTCCCATCTATGAGAGACATCCTAACATACGATGTGTGTGTGTGTGTGTGTGTGTGTGGCCTGGACGGTGCTGCTGTGGTTCCACTGAGTTGCTATCACAGCCCCATGTTTGTTCAGCATGAGCTCAGCATCTATCCCATGTTGGTTTTATCCCTCTGTGACTGTCTAGGGGAACAGTTTTTCGCCTCAGTCAACTCTCCCTCTTTGCCAAATCTTAATACACACAAAGTATGGGCGATACGGCCCGCTTCGTCTGTGTCTCTCCTTCATCTTTGCCGAGGGGGAATGCAGCCTAAACCACTCAAACTCTAAATCTGCCTTGATATCATAGAGTCTTCTGACAGCTCCTTCTGTTTTGTCAGTTTCACTCATCTATGAAAGCAGCACGCTCAGTGGATGCACAGTGATATTCAATATTTAGGATTTCCTCTGGTTTACAATGAAGTAAAAAAAAAAAGACTTTCAGTGCTTATTAAAAACATAAACTTAGTAAGTCACACAGAGGGACAAAAATATCTTTGGAAGGATGTTTAAAAAAAACAACTAATTACCATACCGTCATAACCAATATCATATTTTTAGGGCTGTTGAATAGACTTCTAAGTAGTTTAATTTCAGACACGCTCACCTGTATTTCTGAAATGATTCCTAATTTATATATTTATTATCATGAAGAAAAAAATAAACAAATGTTTGACTGCATATTAACTTGCTTAGCTTTCATTATTCCATCTTGATCAGTCTAGCCACTTGCAATAAAGAGTAACTCACATAACCTAAATAAAATCCACCTCTATATGAAGAAATGCAACCCAGAAGTGTAGAATGCAAGGACAAAGTTGTGCATCACAGATAGCTGGGGAGTTGAGCCACATTTCAACTGGGCACAAACTCAAACTGAGACAGAGGAGTCACAGGAGCCCTCCGATCCTCCCAAATTTTGGGGAAAAGAGACAAAAAACTCTTTCTACATGACATAGATGAGAAAGGCTATCCGTATATCTAAAAGCTTATGTCAGTGACGGAAGGGTGTGGTGCATCATTATCCATGCATGGTCTGGATGGCTTCCAAAGTGTGAGGGTTCTATTGCAGTGGCAAAGCCAGTGTTGCTTCATAGACAAAGTGTATGTGCTTGAATCTTTTTTGTTGTGTTTTCTATATATATATATATAATTTTTTTTTAAATATATATATGTGTGTGTGTGTGTGTATGTGTGTGTGTACTGTATATATATACATATATATTTGCTGAGCTGATTTGGTTCAGGGGGGGAAAAAATGAAAAAGAAATGGTTTGAAGGTGTGTTTATATTTTTCCTCTCCTCTCTGTTTTATCTAAGAAACTATGAAGTGACGAAATGTGATCACCCGCCCACTGAAACGAGATTCTCTCAGCTGAATAAGTGGTAAATTAACACAGAGGTGCACACAGAAACCAGAGAAGAGCAGGAATTTAAGTGAGTGAATGAGTGCGATAAGAAAGGTG